AGTCTAGTCTCTGGGGAAATGGGTTTTAAAATATCTTCTATTTTAGGGTGCTTACGAGGAACAGTACGCACGTGCAGTTCACACTTTACTGAAGGACAGTATACAAATACAGTTCACACTGAACTGAAGGACAGTATACAAGTGCGGTTCACACTGAACTAAAAGAGAGTATCTATGTCCAGTTCACACTGAACTGAAGGACAGTGCACATGTGCAGTTCACACTGAACTGAAGGACAGTGCACATGTACAGTTCACACTGAACTGAAGGACAGTATACAAGTACGGTTCACACTGAACTGAAGGACAGTATACAAGTGCAGTTCACACTGAACTAAAAGAGAGTATCTATGTCCAGTTCACACTGAACTGAAGGGACAGTGCACATGTCCAGTTCACACTGAACTGAAGGACAGTGCACACGTGCAGTTCACACTGAACTGAAGGACAGTGCACATGTACAGTTCACACTGAACTGAAGGACAGTGCACACGTGCAGTTCACACTGAACTGAAGGACAGTGCACATGTGCAGTTCACACTGAACTGAAGGACAGTGCACATGTGCAGTTCACACTGAACTGAAGGACAGTGCACAAATGATTGCATTTTACAACTTTAACACAGAAATTTGGACACTAAACTTCTTTGGTAAGATCTTGTTCTTCTATGAAGCCTTCTTTTGATTTACGTGTCTTTACCAGAACTAATCCTGCCCTTCCAAGATTTTTAGTGGAATATAAAACATATTCGATCCTGTTTCGTTTATGTATGTCTCTTGCCTACCAAAATAAGAATGCCAAAACATAAGGGAAAGTTTTATTCCAATCCTCAACAACAGCATCCATCACAATGCACAGTAAAAACAAAAACAGAACAACACATTTGCCAATATAAGAATATGAAATAGGTGATAAACCTTTTAAAACTGTAAATACTTTCATAAACATTTTCCTCTGGCTAAACCTACTGACTAGTATTCTTTTTTTGGGGAGCTGGGTATCAGAGATTGAATCTAGGGGTTCGTGCATGCTAGGCAAATGTTCTATGACTGTGTTCCTATCAACTTTCAATTGCTGTCTCCTCAAACTAAAACTGAGTATCTGCTAGTACTTTCAGTGAGGAAACTGGCTTGTTAAACATAAAGTGCAGGAAGTTTGGGGTCGACTGCCCTCTGCTGGCACTTCAAAAAACTAACCTTCTGAATGGCGAAGCCTGACACTGGTGGTGTTCAACTTCAATACAATGCAGAATTCTCTTTCCCTTCTTTCTTTCCTTTCCTTTCCTTCCTTCCTTCCTTCCTTCCTTCCTTCCTTCCTTCCTTCCTTCCTTCCTCCCTCCCTCCCTCCCTCCTTTCCTTTCTTCCTTCTTGCTTGAGACAGGGTCTCACTATGTATCTCTGGCTGGCCTAGAACTTGCTGTGGAGACCAGGCTAGGCCCCAAACTCACACGGATCTATCTGCCTGTCTCTGGCCTGCACACACTGAGATTTAAAGATATTAGCCACTGTGGCCAACTTCTATTTTCTTAATTTTCCAAGTGCACGTGTCCAGAATTTGTAGTCAGAGAAAACTTGTGATTTTCCAAATAATTTGATGTTTATTATATTATTATTATTATTATTATTGTTGTTGTTGTTGTTTCAAGACAGAGTTTCTCTGTGGCTTTGGAGCCTGTCCTGGAACTAGCTCTTGTAGACCAGGCTGGCCTTGAACTCACAGAGATCCGCCTGCCTCTGCCTCCCAAGTGCTGGGATTAAAGGTGTGTGCTCCCAAACTGTTTCTTTTGGGAGAATTTGGAGGTATCCTATAGTATCATCAGAAAGGTGTGGTGCTAGATGGGTCTAGCTGTGGCAGTCAGAGAACAGGACAGTAAGGAAGCAGAGGGATGAATTCAGGTGTTCTACCTGCCTTCTCCTCCGCCCCGGTTCAGGACTCCAGCTCATGGGATGATGCTGCCTGCATTCAAGGTAAGTCTCCTCCAGTGTCAGGTCCCCTGGAGCTGAAGCTGCAGGCAGGTATGAGTCACCCAATGCGGCTCCTTGAATGCAAACCAGTACGTGCTCCCAACCACTGAGCCATCTCTTTCCACCCTGGGCTTATAGAGATGGAGCACTTTCAGGGTGTGCGGACAACCACCGAAGGCATCATTAGACGCACTCTCAGTGGGTGAGTTTGGACAGAGGCCAGAGAGACCACGCCAGCCTGGGCTCTAATTCGGCTTTACACTAGTTCTAGTCTCCAGAATAGACAGTTTTTTTTCTAGGAGACGGGCTCTTCCCCCTTCCACTGTGATTGACATGCCTGTTGTAGGATAGTATTTTAAAATGTGTTACACTTGTTTTTGCTGTAGAACATCTGTTTCTGTGATGCAAAGATGTGTTGCGTTCTTCTCTGTTGCAATTGTTTAACTCTGTGAAGCTGTGTTACTTTGCCTGTCTAAAACACCTGATGGTTTAATAAAGAGCTGAATGGCCAATAGAAAGACGGGAGAAAGGATAGGTGGTGTTGGCAGGCAGAGAGAATAAACAGAAGGAGAAATCTGGGAGGAAAGAATAGCAAGGATCAAGAGAACAAGGAGAGGAGGGCAGCAGGGACCACCCAGCCAGCCATGGAGTAAGCGCGAGAGTAAGATATACAGAAGTAAGAAAGATAAAAGACCAGAGGGCAAAAATAAATGGGATAATTAGTTAAGAAAAGCTGGCTGGAAACGAGCCAAGCTAAGGCTGGGCATTTATAAGGAAGAATGAGTCTCCATGTCATGATTTGGAAGCTAGCTGGTGGGCCCCTAAAAAAGTCAAAAACAAAAACAAAAACAAAACAACCCAGCAACACAGGTCCATCTGGATTAGGAGGGAACTGTGCTGTGTTCTTGTTCTTTACCCTAGGTCTCAAGAGTTACCAATCATGACTGCCTGTTTCTCTGGCCCAGGAAAACAGAACTGTAACAGCTCCGAGGATAGCCCCCACACAGGTAAAGTTTGAAAGCTGCTCAGCTAAGTCTAGTGAGCAGCAATACTAAAGAACTGTGCCTTAAAAAGCTCTTCAAATAAGATTCTACACTGACTTGACCAAAATACAACCGTGGGCATTTCATCCCTCTGTCTTCAGTGGGTAGATATTCATTTAGAGACATGGCTCGGATTCCAGTCTTCTGAGTAGGAACCACAGTCATGGAGTTTCAGTTTCTGGTCCTACAGGCTGCTGATTATGAGGCGGGGAGGAGTCTATCCTCAGCGACCTTCAATAGTGTGGAGAAAAAAGTAAAGATATGAGAAATAGAAACCTCACGAAGGACACGAAAGGCAGAGGCACAATGCTAGTATCGCTATTATGCACCCTGGACAGAAAAGAATTGGAGGAAGCTACACTTCAGGAACCAATGAAGAGGCTGGAAATAGAGCTTAGATGTTAAGAGCACTTGCTGCTCTTGCAAAGAACAAGTGTTCAGTTCCTGCCGCCACAGGACAGCTGACAGCCATCTGAAACTCCAACCCCAGGGGTTCTCATACCCTGTTTTGGCTTCTGTTGGCACAGCGGGCACATGCAGTGTGCACAGACGTACATGTAGGCAAAATACTTATGCACACTGAATAAAATTAATATTTTTTACAAATACCATAAAACTTGTATTTACAACCAAGAATTAAAATCTTTTTATCTTTCCCTACCTTTAAGCAAATGTTTCAATCCTACAGAAAGAGAAAAACCATTGTTTACACAAAGAACTCTTCTTTTATTCTAGGAATTTGATGGCCTGGCGAAGCGACCCTTTTCCCCTTCCTCCACTTCCCTTTCTCCAACCTCCATTTCCAATTCTTTTCAGACTAGACTGTGAAACTGGACTCCAGTCAATGCAGAAGAGACACAACCACCATCAAAGTTAGAATAAACACCAAACACACTTCCTGTTTCTGGTGTGTCCACTCTTCTGAGCACACCCACTTGATCAAGCTTAACGTTTGCCTGGCCTAGACAAGTCCATTAAGACGGTGGTCTCTTCCTTTGCTTCTCGAACTTACTTCTAACACCAGCACCCATGTGGCAGCTCCCAGATGGTTCTAACTCCAATCCCAGGGGACCCAACGCCCCCTCCTGTCCTCCTGGGGTACTGCAACACAAGGTGCAGACATACACTCAGGTAATCATAAACACAATGGGTGTGTGTGTGGAATGAATAAAAATTTCCCTAAATGAAATGATTAAAAAACACCAGAGATGCCAACAGTAACGGAAAGGGGGAAATCCTATAGATTTAAGTGTGTAACTAGCCAAGAAAAAAAACATGCTGTGTCTAGACATGAGGAATCCACCTGCCAGAAGGACAAAGACCATAATGGCCATTTTTTTCTTTTCTCTCGCTCTTTTTTTTTTTTTTTTTTTTCCCGAGACAGAGTTTCTGTGCATAACCCTGCCTTTCCTGACACTCGTTCTGTAGACCAGGCTGGCCTCGACCTCACAGAGATCCGCCTGCCTCTGCTTCCTGAGTGTTGGAATTAAAGGCGTGCACCCACGTTGCCAGGTTTAAAAGCAACTTCTGCTACAGGAAGAAAATAAACGGATTATTTGAGTTACTGGGGGTAAAGATCTCAGAACCCACCCACCACAAACACTAATTAGGAGCCGGGCGATGGTGGCGCTCGTCTTTAATCCCAGCACTCGGGAGGCAGAAGCAGGCGGATCTCTGTGAGTTCGAGACCAGCCTGGTCTACAGAGCTAGTTCCAGGACAGGCTCCAAAGCCACAGAGAAACCCCGTCTCGAAAAAACAAACAAACAAACAAACAAAAAAAGCAAAACACTAATTAGGGTAGCGTCCACCCGTAGCCTAGGCAATGGGCACACCCTGGAAAGCGCGCCTTGACCACGCCAATCGACCACGCCCACTTCCCCCTGGCGCTCCTCTGCCGGGCTCTTTCCCGCCGCCGTCCTGGCGCGCACGCGCGCACACTCCCGCCCACTTCGCCTGCGCGGCGTGACGACGCCGCTCGCTCCCGGAAGTAGGAGGCGTCCGGCGGAGTTTGTGTGGCAGCCGCCGCGGGAACCCGAGCGTGGTAGTTTTCTTACAAGGGAGAAAGGCGGCTTCGCGGGGCTCGGCGGCGTGGGAGCGAGCGGCGGCGGCCATCTCCCGGCGTGAGAGGCGGCATGGAGGACGAGCGGGGCCGGCCGCGTGGCGGCGGCGAAGCGGCTCAGCAGAAGACGCCGCGGGCCGAGTGTGAGGAGCCGCGGCCGCTGAGCGTGGAGGTGAGGGTGCTCGCGCGGGGCTGCCTCGCTTCCCCGGCTCCGTCGCCATCCGGGCGAGCCCGTCTCGGCTTGAGGGAGGAGGTCGGGCGGGAAGTTCCGAGTGAGAATTCTGCGTAAACATTCGGCCTGCGCGGGCGCACTGCCCTTCCACCAGCCCCGCGGCCGCTGATTGGCTGAGCTGGCGCCGGCGCTCGACCACCCGCGGGTGGGGTTTCTAGCCGCCTGGGGTGCTTCCCGCAGCCTGTGCCTGCCCCAGACCACCGCACTGCCGCCGTCTCTACCGGCTCTCGAAGGGACCCCCCCCCTCCCGGCTTCCTCTGTCCCCTGCTATCTCGAGAGTCCAGCCACAACCGGCTTCCGAAGTAGTTTGGTACCCCGCCTGTCCATCCTCGAGACAGCGGCGAGACTGTAAGACGCCTCCCCAGACTTAGTTACTCATCTTGATGGGTTAGTGTTGGCAAGCCCTGCGGCTTGGGAAGGAGACGCTAAAAACTCCGTGCTTTTTCGCCGCAGGAGTTGAGCACTGGAAATCCAGGGTCTTCGCGGGGCTGGGGAGATGATCTGCCCAGCCGTGGAAGTGTAGGGTCAAAACCAAAACGTCAAAACGTGGGTGTTCGGGAGATGCTTCCTAGTGTCTTTGTTCTTTCCATTTACACCTTCGTGTAGTAGCCAGAATACTCTTTTAAAATGTTACTTTCAATGCATATGTGTGTAGTGGATGCCACGAGTGTGCAGGTGCCTTCAAAGACCAGAGTTAGAGGTTAGACATGGATCCTGGGGACCGAACTCCCGTCCGCTTGCAAAAGCAGAAATTGCTCTTGAGTGATCTTTTAACAGTCTGAATGTATCTAATTTACTCCCATCGTTCCGTGCCTTCCGTTTGCCCCTGCCGCCTTTGCCCATTGCATAGTGAACATCTTTGCTTTGCTGTCCACTCTGACTTCCCTGTGTTCTTCTTTAGTAGGGTTTTTTCCCCCCCTTAAGAATCTTGTGTTCCCTTATCCTGACCACTCTTCCTCCGGATCTTTACAGCGTTATCTTACTGCGCTTGTTAACTGGGTACTTTGGAAGGCTGACAGAGGCTTGCACTCGCCCGCACTGGAATGATGCCCCTTTTGTTCTAATCCGTGTTGTCAATAACATCACCTAAGTCACTTTTAAAGCTAATTTGCAGAGCTTTTCCTAAGAGAAACTGAGGATACCTCACTGTCTTCAAAGTCCCGGAACTTTGAAATGGAATGCTTTGTGTTCTGGACCTGTGTTCAGATTGATATTAGCGACTATTTTGCCTGTTAAAACCTTAACTGTTAAGTGCTTTTAACAGATGAATATATATATTCCCCCTTGACTTCAGCCTCACAAAATTGTTGGTTGTTTTTGAGATTTATCTAGTAAATTTCCATTGACTTTAGCTTCAGTGATGTTGTAAACCAGTAGAAAAAGAAACATTTTAATGTTTGGGCATTTTTGTTTCAACCTGCAAATGCAAAAGCTTTTCTTTTGTAAGTAGGTAGTGCATAGTTTTGGTAGTTTTATCAACAAGAGTGTGGACACAGGAGTTACTTAAAAGTAGTTACTTTGTAGTTACTCTATAAGAGTCTCACCTCAGAAACAGTAGGTTGTATTTACTTGAAAGAGCATTCAGAGGTCAAGATAGAACCTTTCCCTATAGAAAAATCCAGCAACTTTTAAGGAGAGTCATATTTTTATTCTGGAAAGTGTAGCCCAGCCTTAAGTTCCACACTTTAAAGTACTTCTCTACAGTATAGCAAATTAATGTACAAGTTCATATCCATTTCCCATAATGTGAAAGGAATGAGTACTCTGCACGACCCCTAGCAGTACAACCTGGGCATTTGCAGGGTTGAGGAGGGGGGGGAGTTAACCTTGATCTGTCAAGATCAGTTTAAGTTAGGGACTGCATTATGGCCAAGTAAATACACATCAATATGCTATTAGTTATTATTAGCAAATAAATTGTTTCTGAGGCTGCTGAAAACATAGTTTATGTTTGTAGCATCACATGTAGAACATAATTAACTTTAGAAGATAGTGTATTTGTATTTTAGATCTATCCATGAGGAAAATAGAATGGAGTCAAATGACAGAAAAGCAACACTGTAGATCTGAATGACTGATGACTGTGGGACAATTTATGAGCTTTGAAGCAGAATGCATATGTTTGCTTAAGTCCTGTGGCATTTCAGTAGTGAACCGGAAATCTGTTTCCTTTCCTTCCTGGTGGGTTCTGTTAGCTTTGTGAAATAAAGCCAGACTGAAAAGTTCTGAGGAAGTCGCTGATACATACACATAGTGATGTAAAAGGTCACTTAAACTTGGCTTAGTTTCAGGATATTGTTTGTGAAAAGACTTGTTTACAGTCTGATGACTGTAAAGTAAAATTACTGTTCATTAGTAGTTAGCTTGCTATATACACAATTTCATACTTAGAGTAAATGCTACCTAAATACTGTTTACCATTAGCAAATACCATCTAGGACAGGTATATTTGTATAGGTGAGGGAACTGCTTGTCAGTGGCCCAAGGCCCTGCTGCTGTAAATGGCCAGCTGGGGCCCAGACTGTCATGCTCTGACTCTAATTCTGTCCTCTTTTTACTTAGCTTCATTGCGTCTGAGGAATCTCATGACTCAGAGCAGAGCAGGGCCAATTACATTGGAAACACATCTTTCATCTTCCTGCTTTCCTCCACTGGCGCCAAGGGGAGCCTTTCATTGAACATATAACATGGAGAGCCCTTAGGAATTTGCATCTTTAAAAATAAAATATATTTGCACTAATTGTAAATTATCTCTCCCTTTTTCGTAGAAAAAGCAGCGATGTAGACTGGATGGCAAAGACACAGATGGATCTAAGATCATCATCTCCAATGGAAGTGACTTCAGTGACCCAGTTTACAAAGAGATTGCAATGGCAAATGGCTGTATTAATAGAATGAGTAAGGAGGAACTCAGAGCCAAGCTCTCAGAATTTAAACTTGAAACAAGGTAATGAAAACTAACATTAACCTAGTATACACTCTGCTTCTTAAAAACAGTTACAGAAGTAGTACCTGCTCACTTTAGAAAACCTTGACAAGACTAAAAATGAAAATCCTATTATGAGATAATTCAAATTACAACTGTAGTTTATATTCTTTAGCTTGAGTCTTGGCATGCAACTTTGTTTTGTTCTTCTTTAGATAGCAAAGGAGATCTCCAAATCAAAGTTTGTGACTGTGTTGAAACATACCATCAGTGTATACATGTATAGTCATGGCTGTTGTAGCAAGAATGTTGTTTAAGTTTTACTTTTAAGAGGTCTTGTATAGTCTGAGCTGGCCTTGAGCACACAGTCCTCCTGCCTCTGCCTCCTGGCTTGTTCGCCATATTGGTCTTGAAAATTTTGCTTAATAGTTGGTCATTTACTTGACATGATAGAGGATATTTTTATTTAGTTGCATATATTTTTATAACAGGTTTGTCTGAAATCAGGTGGAAATCCTTCACGTCCATACAAATCAGTCACTTTGTTTTAGCTTCTGAAGGAACTGTTGTGTCCATCACATTTAGCCGTACCGAATGGGAAAATGTAGCTTAGTGAACCCTCTGTCTTCTGAGAATTAGACACATATGTTTACAGAACTATTTTCTACCCCTTCCCACTTTTCTGTTTTGTTTTTTTAAAGTTTGAGGTATGTGGCATTCTGACTTTTAGCATCCAGAAAAAGGCACAGTGTTTGATATCAAGAAAAAAAATCTTGACTGTGTGTAACAGTTGAGAACATTATTCTGGGCAGTAGACTTCTTATCTCTCAAAGTGGACTGCCCCCACTAACTTTCAGATAAGACTTGTTCCCTTCCAGACGGTCTGCCACAGTTTGTAAGGAAAGTCTTGATTTTCTCTTTGCTCTTTCCGTTATTAAAGTACAGCCTGTGGCCTACAGAAGATGTCTGAGAAAACTTATTCTCCCTAGGTGTGAAGATCAGTTCATGGAGCTAGAGATCTAGATGCATTTACTCAACACCTGTTGGAACTGTAAGCACTGCACCAGACACCGACACATTACCCACCCAGAAAAATCTCAGTCTTGAGAAAACACACAAATGTCACAATTAGAGTAGTCAGGGTAGTGTTGGAAATCTGAGTGTCGCAGTGCAGTGTGTTCAGGAGTTCAGAAGTGGGACATTTAAATTATGCCAAGTAGGAAAGGGAAGAGCATATTTCAGGCAAAAAGAAATTAAAAACAAGAAAAAAACCAGAAAACTTATAATTTCTATTTTTCAGTCATATATTCTTGTCTTAATCGTACAACCAGACTTAAGGAATTCAAAAGCACGCTGTGTATCAAGGCTACAGCACACAGTGCTCTTTATCCACAGCTTCCAGTGTAGCAGCATGCTGTGGGGAGAAGGAATGTTGGACAGTGATACTGAAATGGTACCTCGAGCAAAGTGAAGGAGCCCTATGCTGAAGTCCTTTATTCCTTGTGATGCAGGGAAGCCACCGAAGATGACCTGCATTGAATTAGTGCTCAGTTCTTAAGTCGGGTGAAGCAGTATGCTGCAGGCTGTGATCACAGGCAGCCTCTGCCGTAGTCTAGGAAACTAAGAGAAGCCATTGTGGAGAGGATTGAGGACAACCTGGTTCAGGTAGTGTTCAGAAGTCAACCTGGTAAACATGACATTTGGATAAGGAGGAGCCAGGCGAATGTTAGGGAGAAGTTTTTACCCAGGGCAGCTAGTTCAGTGTTTGTGCTGCATCAGGTTTGCAGTGCCATTTCTTTAGAGAAACGATAGATAGATAGATAGATAGATAGATAGATAGATAGATAGATAGATAGATAGACAGACAGACAGACAGACAGACAGACAAATGGAGAGGAAAGAAATAGAAGTAGTCACATCTCGCTGGTCACTTGATGTCTTAATATGAAAAGGGTCGAGGGACTTTTCTATGTTTTGATAATGTGTAAAGAAAACACTGAAATGCTGGTCATGTGTAAGCCTTTACTTCCAGTAACTGGGAGGCAGAGGCAGGTGTATCTCCAAGGTCAAGGTCAGCCTGGTCTACATAATAGTAAACATGAATAATAAACACCATGAGGCAGATATTTGGGTTCATCATGAAGATCAGAAAAGTAAAACAGCCAACCATTAGAGAAACCTTTTATCTCTACCAAATCTTTAGACTGAAATGGCTGAGATTCTGTCTCTAAGAATCCTGAAGACTACACACTCCACTGAGTGCCTGTCTCTTCTTTATATTCTTCTCTTTGCCCAACCATATCGCTCCTGTCTCCACCTCCACCTCCGTAGTGCTGGGACTAAAGGAGTGTGAGATTAAAGGCATGTGATCACAAGTGCTAGGATCACCTTTCTATGAGCTCTGTTTCTCTTTTAGACAAGTTCTATCTTGTGTTGTCCAGGGTGGCCTTGAACTCACAGAGATCCCTCTGAAAAGCTGGGATGAAAGGCACGCTCTACCACTGCCCGGCTTGTATGGCTGACTAGTATGGCTGCTTTGCCCTCTGATCTTCAGGCAGCTTTATTTATTAAAACATACATAATATAGCACTATGCATAATGAGTTCCAGGACAGCAAGGACTATATAATGAGACCCTGCCTCTTAAAAGAGTAAACACTAAAACAGTCTCAAAACAAGCAGCTGGTTGATTACCAGCTTTCATAGGTAGGGTTCTTGCTCAGTGCTTCAGTGGGTAAGAAAGGAAAGCAAACGGCTTAAAACGTGACTTTTAAGTCTCTGATTGGCAATGTGACAAAAAAATAACCTACTTCTAGTCGACCTGTGAGTATGTTAGTGTTCACTCAAAGTGGGCCCTAGGGTGGTGTATCTTGAATTACTTTTCAAGTAGCTATAAGACATTCAACTTTAGGGCCGTAATGCTTTCATACCCTTAAAAATTTTTTGTTGGTTTAGTTGTCTAACCCATGAATACCAGAAGGAGTACAATATGTTCAATGTGTCTGCATTTTCTCACTCAACACTACAGTTTGTCCAGTTATCTTCAGTTTTTATATCATGTGTGTCTTAACATATAAGGCAGTGTTGTGTGTGTGTGCACATAACACATGTGCACAGTTATGGCTTAAAATACTAGATATAATGAAGACAAAACTTCTCTTGTGAAGGAAAATTTGTCGCATTAAGCATTCTGTTTTCATTAGCTCTTTGCTAACTTAGCTTTGAGTTTTTCCTTCTCCCCATTTGTCTTAGCTAGTGTTCGTTAGTTATGCTGTGATTTGGACTGTTCAACCTCGTGCCTGCAGTTAGGACTGAGGATTCTCGACTGTAACGTTTACCTGATCTTCTGCTGTTTTAGAGGGGTCAAGGATGTCCTAAAGAAGAGATTGAAAAACTATTACAAGAAGCAGAAGTTGATGCTGAAAGAAAGCAGTTACGTGGACAGTTACTATGACTACATTTGTATTATTGACTTTGAAGCTACTTGTGAAGAGGGAAACCCAGCTGAGTTCATACATGAAATCATCGAGTTTCCTGTTGTTCTGTTGAATACGCACACCTTAGAAATAGTAAGTGAATTGTTGTGTTTTTATCTTATTTTTAGTAACAACTGTTCTGGTGTTCAGTAGGAAACTGGAAGCGCCTGTCTGCCATTTTAGCTGGAAATAGAATTCGAAAAGGAGATTTTTGCACATTGCTGTGTGCTCCCTATCTGCATGATTATTTAATAGAGAAACCATAATGAAGTGAATCCAGGACCTGCTTTTCTTCTCCGTGAACTGAAATTGTGGTGCTTTTCTGGTGCTCAGAACAGCTGAGTAGATGGCAATCTCTAGGGAAGTGACAAAGACAATGGAAAAATACCCTGGTGCTTGCCCCTGGCCCCAGAGATAAGAGTCTAGTTCTGTGGACGGCCCTTGGCATCAGCTTACTTTTTAGAGCACCGTAGGCGGTTTTGATGTTCAGTGAGGGTGGAGGATAGTTTGTAGAAATACTGCTGGTGGCATTGCGGGGGCGGTAGTAGCTGGACCTAAATTCCCAAACCAGACTTTGCATACCCTAGGTGATTGCTGGCATTGCATTGTTAGTTCAGGGCGTCATAGAATGTACTCCTAAACATACTTCTTACCTTTAAAATGGTATCAAGGAGATGTCATAGGCCTGTGTCTGGTCACTAAGACAGACAGACCTCGTACGTGGTGATGTGCTGTGCCCTTCGTCTCCACCCCCTTGGGGGCTCTCTCCTCCTCCTTCTTCTGTTTGTTTCCTGCGGGACCCAGCCTCTTTCTAAAACTGTCTGCTCCACAACAGATCAATAGTCAAAAGGGAAAATGGCAGCTGTGCAGGCAGGTGTCCTGGCTAACTCAGACATCTCTGAGCTTGGGGCACTGTAAGCACTAAACAGTCGGGTGCATTGCCTTCTGGCGTGTTCTCATGTTGTCCCACCGCAGGGAAACCCTCCTCTTACTCCACTCAGCTGCTACTACCCCTCTTCTTCATTTATGGAAAACCCGTCAGTAAGTTCCATACCCTTCTGTCTTCATTTGCTTTCTTCCCGTCATCTCTTATATCCACTCCATTCAGTCAAGCTTAAACTGTATACTCTCTTTAAAAAACTTATGTGGGCGTGTGTGTGTGTGTGTGTGTGTGTGTGTGTGTGTGTGTGTGTGTGTGTACACACCACAGTCTGTGTGTGACAATCAGGATAACTTTGGGGAGATGGTTCCCTCCACCCATTTTGTTTAGCAAGGATCTCTTGGTTCTCTGGCCTACCTATTCCAGGCTTCTGGGCAATTCTTCATCAGTAGGTCTGTGTTCTATCTTTGTTACCAGCTTATTTCAACACAGTGGCCCAAGGACCCTTTAAAAACCTTGCCACGACTCCTGTTTTAACATTAAATAAAAAACATATTCCATGTATGATTTAGCCTCTTACGGATGATTATCTCCTGTTTTTATGAATTAATTTATTATTAAACCCATGTATTTCGTTTGTTCAATCTCAGGCTGATTTCCTATGACTGAAACCTCCTATTTTCAAAAAACGTGTCATTTTTAAAACCCATTATCGTAATGCACCAACTTCAATAGGCTTAATGTTCTGAACATGCTGTAAACAAAATGACCAACGTTTTCTCGCCAAGAAAATATTTACCTTAACTTTGAAGGTTTGCTTTTAGACACCTGCTGACATGATGTTTTTAAAAAAACAAAATAAACTGTCTTTACATTTAAATATCAGAGGACTTTTTGTTGGGGAAGTTCCCTTGGGAACTCAAAAATGATCTGCCATGAATAGCAGATCTGCCATGTATTTCTGCTGTGGCTGGATTTGTTTTGCGTGTGTGTCCGTACTGTAGTCACATAAAGCGCTTTCCCTTGTGTACCTCCCTGCAGGAAGACACGTTTCAGCAGTATGTGAGGCCAGAGGTTAACTCACAGCTTTCAGATTTCTGCATCAGTCTCACTGGAATTACTCAGGTGATAATTCTGTCTCAATTTCTGTTAGTTTTGGTGGTGGGTGCTTGTTTATTTTGAATTTGAAAAGAAAATTTTAAATTTCATTTATTTTGTGAATAGTATAAAAATATCATTATGAGCAATTTAATGTGTTGTTTTCCCTGTTTGGTGAAAGTCTTTCTTTCCATACTGTGATTAAAACAAAAAGTAGGAGGTGGTTTAAGAGATAGTTCAGCAAGTTAGGAGCATTGGCTGTTCTTTCAGAGGACATGGATTCAATCCCCAGCACCCACATGGTCACTCACAACTATCTGTAACTCCAGATCCAGGTTCCAGTGCCCTCTTCCGGCCTCCATGAGCACTGAACATGCACATGGTGCACACAAAGGCCAAGTACCCATGCACAGACAATTAAGGGGCTTTTTAAAATAATAAATCAATAATTATCTGTAGTAACAATAATGACAATTTTTTTTAAGCAAACAGAAGGTCTTAGGACTGGTACAGTGGTGTGTGCTATAGTTTCACTTGCTAAGGGAGTAAGGGGCTCAGTTTGGAGGCTAGATGCCCTCTTAGCTCAGACATTTGAGACCAGCTTGGGCAGCACTGACAGAGCCTTTCTTCAGAAACAAAAGTTAAAGCCAAACTACACATGATAGCATTTTTGTTACTCCCTCCTCCCCACCCCCGGTAGTTATAATGGTGCAGTCAGGATGTTAGTTGTAAACTGGGCGGTGGTGGTGCTCGCCTTTAATCTCTGTGAGTGTGAGGCAGCCTTGTCCATTGAGCTAGTTCTAGGACAACTAGGGCTATTGCACAGACAAACCCTGTCTGGAAAAACACAGAAAAGAATTCAGTTGTAAAATGGAGCTTTAGTAAGGTAAGTGTCACTGCTGTATTTAGATAGGATTTGGAACATGTCTGTTTACAATCTTGACTATATACCTTTGGTGGTCTATCTCTGGTTTTTGTTTATGTTTTAATAAATAGGCCTTTTAAAATTTATTTGGATCCTTCATTAGTTTCACACTCTCTACACATAGTTCAGTGCCCACAGGCCAGTCTGGTCCAGCAATCCTTCTATTGAGCTTTACTCTTCCCAGTGACTCTAGGTCACCTGTGTCATTAACAAAACCGGGACCATCTTAATTCTTAATTTTGGGAGAGTTGTATACTCACTTGAAAGCAGTCTTTAATTCTTGGCCATAAAATGAATTCATTTTCTCAGATTAACATTTAGGTGGTAAGTAGGTCTAAGTCATTGAAATCAGAGTTTAACAGTTCAGGAACTGTTTGTTCTCCGGTTTATGCCTGGGTGTGTTGCAGGGCCACAAGCCATAGCTGTCCTAACCTTGTTCTCCTTCTGTCTTCAGGATCAGGTAGACAGAGCCGATGCTTTCCCTCAGGTCCTGAAAAAAGTAATTGAGTGGATGAAGTCAAAGGAGTTAGGAACTAAGTACAAATACTGCATATTAACAGATGGGTAAGTAGGAAAATGCAGTTTCATTCCTGTTTACCAGTGAAGAGGCTCTTACTCATTGAGTGTCTAGACTGTCAATGCAATGTTATTTAGTAAGTCCCCAGGAGTCACTGCACAAGAAAGGGTCGTTCCCCACTTGAGAGTTGGAGGCAGGAGGATTAGCAATTCAAGGTCAGCCTACGTAGTGAATTGGAGGCAATCCTCAGCTGTATTTTGAGATTATATCTCAAAATCCTACTTGTGCCTCTTCTCCAAATAAGAAAAGGAAAAGGGGAAATGAAGAACTAATAGGAAGGTCTAAAGGGTTGAAAGGGGCACAGACATTGTGCCAAGGTCACTGTACCACAATGTCATCAAAGGTGAAGAAAAAAGCCCTAAAGATCTTCTGGTCTAGTGTCTGCCATGGTGGTGTGTGCTCCCATGTTAAGTTGTTGCTGACATAGAAGACTTAGAGCTCTGCACATATGACCTTAAATTCTGGGACGGATCATTCAAAATCGGTAGTTTGTTTGTTTTTCTTTTTAATTAGAATAGTAGCAAAAACAGTAATTGATGCCCCCCCAAAACAATTAGGCAGCTCAGGCAATTGTCTGGTGAGGGCTGATGATGGCTGTTAAAAATACACAGGGGAAGTAATGCCATGGGGTATGTAGTTGTTTTTGATTTTATAGCAGTGAGTTGAGGGGTTGTAAAATTTGCAGCTGTTCTTGACTCTGCCTAAGAGTAACTTCAAGGTCACTGGTTTGATTCTGAGACAAGGCTTCACTGTGGAGCACAGGCTGGTCTGTGTGCTGCAGCCGCTACAGTGCTAGGATTAAGTAGGGTGCAGTACACCCCGCTGTAAGCACAGTAGAGGAACAGCGGGCCAGGCTGTATGTTCACCCCTAAAATCTGTCTCCAAGTTAGTTGCTTACATGTTTTGTGTCAGGGCATACTCTTAAAGAACTTAACTAAAATGATAAGTTTGGTGTAATATGCAAGTCTAGCAGTTTCACAAAAGAACTCAGCAAGGTGACAGTTTGACAGAAATCAGAGCCATGAGCAATCAAGATGAGGAGCCTTGGTGAAGAAAATAACTGCATTTTTTTTTTAAGCTTAAAATTTTTTTCTGGGAATCAAGGTTAATAAGTTCTCAGCTTGGTATTTTGTGTGAATATGGGAAGGTCAACGTAAGTAGAACACAGAAAGAACAACTTAAAGTATTCTTTGTAGTACTGATGTAGCGTTTACTTTATTCCCTTTCTCTCTTTATAAGTTCCTGGGATATGAGTAAGTTCCTGAACATCCAGTGCCAACTCAGCAGGCTCAAATACCCTCCTTTTGCTAAAAAGTGGATCAATATTCGAAAGTCATACGGAAACTTTTATAAGGTAAAAATTTTACTTTTTAAATTAGTTATGCTGGTCATATTTGCTCAATTTTACATATATATTCAGCTGTGATTTTGTATGCATATTAAAAAAATTAAGTTTTTAAAATTTTGATTTTTCTCTGTGTGCATGTATTTATAAAATTATAGAAGTGTTTTATGGGCCCCTATCTTCATTAAAATGCTGATTTTGAAGTAAAGGATGAAATAGCTGTTATGATTTCTATGCTTTGTTTTTCTTTCTTCGGCCACAGTCAATTTGGACATATCTTAAGATCATATAAACTGGTATCGTCGAGACATGCTTCCTTATTTAAGCACTGGGTGTAACGTGCGAGTGACCACAGCTGCAGGGCACAGGGGTCTCTCTCGGTTCTCAGACAGTTGAGCGAATGCCCGCATGTTTAGGCATCATATATGCCCAGGTATATAAATCTAAATATAAATCCATCAGTAGTTTTTGAAGTAGCACCCCATCTCTGCAGAAAGATGAGCACTATTCTATCACTTTTATTAGAATTTCCATTCTTAATTAAAAACATTTTTATAAATATTTCTGGTCACAGCTTTCCCCTTTCAACTCCCAAATCCTCTTTACCCACTCAACTCCGTGCTCCTTCTCTCTCTCTAAAACACACAGAACTCATAAAAATACAAGCCAGAGTATACAAGCAAACTACCAACAAGACAAAAAATGCCCCAAACTGAGACAAAAAGTACCAAGAGTACTCAGTCAGACTCTGTTGGAGAAAACTTAATCCTTCTGTTGCTAGTGTGTATCAGTTACAGGGAGCTTTGGTTAGGGTAGGAGCCTGTGTCCACTTCAGCATCAGCACTGGGACCCCATCTCGCTTGACCTTCACTGGCCCTGTGCATGCTGCCTCAGTCTCTGAGTTCATGTAGGCATCAGTCCTGTTTAGGGAAGACACTGTTTCCTTGGAGTCGTCCTTCACCCCTGGCTCCTTTACCTCGTCTGCATAGCTCCCTGAACCCTGAGAGGAGGGGTTTGATGGAGACACCTGCTTAGGACTGAGTGCTCCAAGGTCTCACTGTACATTGTCCAGTCGTGGGTTTCTGTTAATTCCCATCTGCTGTGCAAAGAGGCTTCTCTGATGGTGGCAGGGCGAGGCAGGAGAAGCAGTGATAGTATTCCTCTTCCCTGGGGATGCCTTTGTTTTGCTGACACCTGTGTTAGAGGTCCAGCGGCCTCACTTGTCTTCCGCCCCGACCACTGAGAGTTGATTCGGTCTTAACTTGCCTCTCTGTTCCACAGCGTGGCCACACCTTCTCAACATCACCGTTTTTAATTTGTTCCCCTGGCTAATACCTCAAAGTTACAGCTGGATGATGGACATCGAACTCTCTAGCTCAAGGCTATGTCAGCCCAAATGCCTATGTAGTGGAGTCCACGAACTGTTTTTCTTTCTTCTGCAACTATGACTGATGGTTTAGTGAGTCGTGGTCTGCTGGTGCCTGTGCTGTTTCAGTGCGTGAGCATCAGAGTCTCTTGAGAACTCCAGTGGTATGCTAGTGGTCGCCTTTATATGGGACTTGGTCTTTTCCCTTGCAGCTGTTAATATCCTTCCTTTGTTCTGTGCGTACAGGTGTTTTGATTATTAAGTCCCATGGGGAGTTTCTTTTCTGGGCCTGTGCATTTGATGTTCTGTATGTCCCTTCAGCCTTGATGGGAATCTCTTTCTTTAGCTTTGGGGATTTTTCTTTTATGATTTTGTTAAAAACATTTTCTGGACCTTTGACCTAGGTCTCCTCTTCTTCCTTTGTATCAGTATTTGTAGGATTGGTCTTTTCATAGTCTTTTATCCCAGGTGTCTTGTGTGGTTTTCATTTTGTTTGTTTTTGGTTTTGTTCTGTTTTAAGATTTATTATTTTCTTTTGATTAATCTTTTCTTTTATAGTGTCTTTATGACCTGAAATTCTCTCTTCCACCTCAGTTTCCTCTGAGATTTTTATTTTGACTTACTGAATCGAGTTTTATTTTTGGTTTTTGTCTTTTAGAGTCAGGATCTTACTGCGTAGCTCTGACTGTGCAGGAACTCACTATGTAGACCAGGCTAGCCTCAAATTTACTGAGATAGCCTCTCCCTCCCGAGTGCTGGGATTAAAGGTGTGTTCTACCACACCTGCCAGTTTGACTTTAATGCTTCTATTTCTCTTTTAGATTTTACTTTCATGCCTTGAGTTGTTTTTATTATTTCATCCAATCGTTTATTTTCCTGGTCTTCATTCAGGCATATTCTTGTTAAGGTCATTGAGCATATTCATAATTGCTGTCTTGAAGTTTTTGTCCTGTGCCTTAGTGAAATTGCTTTTCTCTGGGAAAAGTAGAATAGGGTACTACCGACTGTTTTGTTTCTTAGTTTTTAGTTTAACTGTTCAGAGTACTTAAAATACTTACTAAACTTTTTATTTTCCAGGTTCCTAGAAGCCAAACAAAACTGACAATAATGCTTGAAAAATTAGGAATGGATTACGATGGGCGGCCTCACAGTGGTCTTGATGACTCTAGGAATATTGCTAGAATAGCAATTCGGATGCTTCAGGATGGATGTGAACTTCGAATCAATGAAAAAATACACGGAGGACAGTTGATGAGTGTCTCCTCTTCCTTACCAGTAGAGGGCGCTCCAGCTCCACAAATGCCACACAGTAGAAAGTAGCTGCATATTTGTTGACTCAGTTGCTACGATTGTATCCCAGCTAGTGCAGCCTCAAGCACCTTTAAACATTTAAAATCCTATTACAGTTACAGAGAGATGGGTATGTATGCAAACACTCAGTGGGGGAACACTCTGAATTCTTTGTCACCAGCACTTTTGGTATGAGCAGTATTTGTTACACAGTAGCCATTCCTGCTTAGAGCTGAATTTTATACTATGGGGTATCCAAGATGTGTTTGTTTGGCTTTAAATGCAGATTTATTGATTTATTCCTTGATGTTGAAATTTGAAATGAATTTCTACATTAATACCATTAAATTAAATATGTTTTTAGAAGTGTGAAAAGGATTGAAAAGTAATGTTTATATTCCCATTGGATTTTGTGTACAACATAGTCCTTTTAGCTGAAGTTTGTAGGTAAAGTTCAACTGCAGTCATCCTCTTGGTGTCATTGAGGGATTTGTTACTTCAAGTAGCATAATGTGTGTATATAAGCTACACATATTCTCCCCTACACTTAAATGATCTCTAGATAGCTTATACTTAATAAAGCATAAAAAAATGGTTGCATTGTCTAGGGACTGAAGACAAGAATAAAAGTATGCGGTGATGCACATACAGCACAGTAGGCCTGACCACACGGCACATGAAGAATTGCTCAGCCAGCAGCAGCAGTTGTCCTGTGCACCACACATTCTGGTCCATTCAGCTTCGCGCTTTCTGGGCAGCAAATTCAGGTATTTCTTTCTGGAACACTGCATGTATTCGGGACAGGTAGTTGCTTTAAAGGTCTACCACCAAGCTTGACAACCCGAGTTTGAGTCTCAGGACTCACACGGTGGACTGAGAGAATCGACTCAAGCGTGCCCTCTGACCCTCTGCTTGCACACTAGTGGAATTGAGCCTTCCAAAGCAAATAAGAATAAGCGTAATGTAATAAGTACTGGGATGCGTCTACTTTCAGCTCATAACTGAAACCCTGTCATAGACTACAGGCTCTAGTAAGAAATCTAGTTTTTGAGAAGATTAGTGAAGAGTTAGAAGAACCTGCCTGTGACATACACATGTAATTCCAGTACTGGGGAGTTAGGGTGAAGATGAATCTGAGGCCACCCTGGACCCACCAAGAGAACCCGACTCCAAAAAGTGTCACAAAAGTTAAAATTATAAGAGCTATAACCTACAAATCAATGGGAGCTTTTAGGGATTTGTTCATTAGCTTCTCTCCATTGTGAATGTGTATTTGCCCCACTTTGAGACTGACTTACTGACATTTGTGCTCAGTTAAGTGTGCCATAGTTAGTAAAAGTACCTGGCTTGTCTTAGTGAGTGACCAGTGTATATTGGAAAATAATTCCTATTCATAAAATCAGAATGTGCATTGGAGATAATGATGGGAAACTATCTGGAGGCCAAACGTATGGACTTTTGGAATTAAACCCCTCTCAAGCTCTTCCTGGACTAATTTCACTAACGTGGCTTGTGTTTTGTTTTGAACCCTTAATAGTGACTGTGGAGCCACATTATTTCTGTGGTCAATCCAGGCAAGTAGATTTCATCATTTCTCCAGCCCTGTGTGTAAGAGAAAGGACAGCAGGCATGCTTGGTGGCTTGAGAACTCACTACAGGCTATGGGTTTTTTGAGCCAACATGCTTCTGTCCTGCCAGAGAGGAATGGGAAATAATGCTGTGTCTCGAGGCCCGCTGGGCTTAACTCTTGAGGTGATTTTCCCAGGTACGCCGTGTTGACACAGGGCAGGTCCATGCCCTTGAAAAGTAATTGCCACCTGATTGTACAGTTGCTACCAAATAGCTGAAACTACAATGGGAAGATTGGAGAACAGCAGGAAATATTAATGCCTTCCTGGGTTTCTGGTTTTTGTTTTTTAAATCAGGCTGATTAAATTTCTTCCTGACAAGTAACCAATTACTTAACTTTTTTTTTCTTAAATAATTCTAATAGTAAAAGTTTTTATAATTCTTGGTCCTACTAAGTGTTTTGCCATCTTTCTCATCATGTTTTGAGTTTCCACTGACCCTTCTGATTTGGTTTGGCTTCTGCTCTGATGGCTTGTCTTTAACATGTAGAATCAGGTAGTTCTTGGGAGGAAAATGCTCAAGAGTGGCTGCCGCTGTGTGTAAAGATGTTTGTACTATTCTATTCTTGTTACTGCTGTAACCTGTTACACTGAGAGTAATATAGTTTCTTAAAGCCTCTGCTCTCTCCTTTGTCCTCAATAGCCATGTTAATTCCCTTGTGTCCCTTTTACTTGCTTGGACACACTGAGATGTTTTTTACCTATGTTGTTTCCAAATCCACACCAGCTGATAACATACACTCGGCTGTATTTTGTCTCTCATGTTTGTATTAAATACTGACATGGACTCTGAAAATATTATTTTCCACTTTTTTCTTCTTTGACTAACCCAAACAGAAGAATGAAGAAGTAGTGTTTGTTTTTATGTGTGTGTTTGCCTGTGTGAGTTTAGGTGCACCATGTGCCCTTAGATTCCTGTGGAGCTCCGAGGGTATCAGATGCCACCTTGGAACTGGAGTTACAGGTGGTTGTGAGCCACCTAATGTGGGTGCTGGGAACCTGAGTCCATGCTTCTACAAGAGCAGCCATCATTCAACCGTGGAGCCATCTCCAGCCCCAAAGAAATGTTTTTCTGATTCCCTCCCTCCCTCCCTCCATCCTTCCCTCCCTTCTTTCTTTGCTTTTTTTCCCTTTAGAGACCTGCTTGTCCCTCAATGGGGATAGATTTCCTCAGCTGGGTTAGCATGAAAGACCGTGGGAGTCACTAACATGATACTTAGACTCTGTCATTGAGTTACCGTTTATTAGTTTCTTGAGAGGTGAAGCATAACTATTCCATCTTCCTGAATGTTACCTTACAAAATATTAACGTGCAGACTAAGGTGGAGGGAAGGTGGGCAGTAAGATTCTAGGGAAGGAGGGATCGTGAGTGACCAGAAGAAGCAGCACCAGAGGGTGTTTTGGAGGCTGGGAGGGCCAGTGCCTAGATGGTACATTTGGGGAGGACCTTGCCATGTCAGCATGGTGTGGAGAGAATGGTGGGAAGGAAAAGTAAGAACACGCCCTCTTCCGTCTCTGTGCCTGTAAAGCTGCTAATAACATCCGGTGGGCCCACCCTTATGACCTCACCTGACCCCAGTTTCTACCTCTCAGTACCATCAACACAGGAATTTGAGGTGTTTCTAAGACCTGAGCTGTAGGCTATGCATTGAACCGTACCGCTGTGTGAAACTTCTCTCTTGCTGTGATAATACCGTGGCCAAAGTCAGCTTGGGAGTAGAGGGCGTGTTTTATCCAACACCTGAGAAGTTAGGGCAGCAAGTCTGGGGAAAGCTGCTTAGTGGTGGCACCGCCCACAGTGGGCAATGCCTTCCTATGTCAACTGCCAATCAAGGAAAAGACTCGGGTAGGTCCACAGGCCTTTCTGAAGCATTTTTCCCATTGAGACTCCTTCAAGTACCTGTGGGCTGTGTCAAGGTGAAGCCAACAAGGAGACACTGTGCCTCCCTCTCTCCTCGTCTCATAAGTCTTTCTAAAATGTTCCGCTGCACTTCTATCACAGAAGCCTGCATTTCTCACTAGATAAAAGTCCTGGCGTTTAGACCTTCCAGTATGGGCTCCTTATATTTTACATCTTCCCCAGGTTAATAACTATCCCTGCTTTATGTGTGTCAGTCTCCTACTTTTGTCCCCAGAAAGTAGTCAGTCCATCGAGCTTGGTCTCTTCTAATTTTTAAGAACTGACTTTGATCCCAGCCTACCCTGACTCTAACTATGTCTTCTGATGTTTCTGTGCCCACTGGACCCTTGATTGGTGCCACGGAGGTTCATATTCACATATTCATAGGCTCTTACATATCCTGTCCTCAGACTCTAACATACAGTGTATAGTTGAGAACAGGCATGGTGAAATATACCCTTATGGTCGGTACCTCTTCCTGAACAAAAGAAGGCGGGTAACTTAAATCCTGATTACTCTGAGGAAAGAGTGGCTTTCCATTTTCTTGTTCCTATGAACTCTGACTCTCAGAGTCAGAAATATTTAATCCCTATCAATACTTGGCTTTCCCTCTAGATGCCAGAAAAAGCAAACAAATGCTGAATTCATTCTAGTCTGTCTCTGCATTGCTAATTTTAAACATTCTCCAAGTATCTTTGACCTTGAAAAGGTCATTCATTGCTTCCCTTCTGTTTTGGAGCAATAATTCAACTTTTTTGGTTTGCACAAATCTTTTTTTAAAAGAGTTTTAGAAGGAAACTTATTCCATTGCATACCTTCGTTTTTGTTTGGTTTTTGAGGCAGGCTCTCACTGCACAGTCCTGGCTGTCCTGGAACTTGCTGTGTATATATTAGTCTGGCCTTGAACTCTCTGGAGACCCACCTGCCTCTGCCTCTTGAGTGCTGAGATTAAAAGTGTTAGCCACCACACCTGGCTCCATTGCACAGTTAAAGCACATTAAATTTCCCAGGTTTGATCTTGTCGGTAGATAGCATATTCACCTTAGCATGAGTACTCATCTATTAAGAATAGGTTTCATTTATGTCTGATGGGCTCTAAGTGCTATAGAAATTAATTCTGTTATCCACAGAAATGCATAGAGAGGGGCTGGAGAAATGACTAGTGGTTAAGAGTACATACTGCCCTTGCAGAGAGCCTGAGCTCACTTGTCAGCAACCAGCTCTGCGGAATCTGACGCCCTCTTCTGGCCTTCATGGGCAACTGTAGTCACATGCATGAGTACACACATTTTCAAAAGAAAAAACAAACAGCCCTAACGTAAAGATGAATAAAGATTTTTAAAGTATATCTTTCTTAAATTACATAGTTATCTCAACTACTCCATCAAGATTTTCTAATACAATAAAACCACTGAAAATGCCAATGTTGGACCTAAAAATTCGATGCAAATGTAGAGTTGTATTAGTGCAAATGAAGGAAGATTGCTTTGCCTTGTGCTGTCCTACAGGATAAAAGCAGTGAAACATAAAACTTGACCGTCGCCTGCTTAGGAAGCCCCAGGGCAGTCACTGTGCTCCCACTTTTACTGTGGTGCTCAGCTCCTGTGTGGGGAAAGGTGGCTGGGCAGGAGAGCAAGAGCCATTCCCACTGGACCAACAGATCTCGTCCTTGTATTTCATTGCTTGCATTTCTGTGTTACAAAGCCGTAGAAGTATTTTAAATATTTGATACTAAATGTAAACTGTGGGGTGCTCCTTTGGGGGGGGGTCAGGGCGTTAGACCCAGGGTCTCATGTGTGACACCAGTCAATGTAAAGAGCACCTAGTAGTCTGTTTAATTTTTAAAGCTTGTATCCATATCAGTGTGAGTGCATCCCGTACATAAAGAGGAGAAGGAATGGGAATAACTTCTAGGACAGTTTTATTCAGTTTCTTAAATCCCATGCCAAAGACTACATTGTGTTCTGCCTTCAAAACTGAGTTTTAAAGTCACCAGTTAATGATTAGCTTCTTGGTCTTTTATTATTGTAAACGCTTGTTGTAGGTTATATGACTGTTAGAAGTATATGTAAATTAGAATGATCCATTCTCAGGTTTGGGAATGTAAGCTCAAAGGGTCGTACCAAGACTTAGTGCCTATTAGTTGGTCCTTAGGGAAACTCTAATCCAGTGTGTTCAAGAATTGGGATAGTCCAACCTGTTACTTTCAAAACACATTTGTACAGATACAGTATTTTTATATAATTAGCGCTTTAGATTATTTTTATTAGAATACATACTCCTGACTTGATATATGTCAAATATCTATTATAGAATAAAATGAAATATAGTAAGTCAACCAAATCAAACTAATTTTGTCAGAAAATGGTTTGCGAATAAAATATGCTAATGGATTCTGAAGAATATGAAATCCATCAAGAAACAATGTAGTCTGATGAAAAGGTTATACAAAGGAGTCGAAGACATGGCCCAGTGGTTAGGAGCACTTGCTGCTTTTCCAGGGGGCCTGGTTTTGAGCCTCAGGATCCACATGGTGGTTCATAACTACCCATAACTCCAGTTCCAGTGGGACCCAGTGTGCTCTTCTGACCTCCTAAGGTACTAGGGACTCATGGACACATACATACATGCAAACAAAACACCTCAAATAAATCTTAAAAATGACATTATAGAAAGCAGTGAGGATTTAAACTCTGGTAGATTTACCAGACAAGATTCAGCATTTCCTCTAAGTTGTAACAAGTCAGTGCTTTATATGAAATGGTCATCTCCTAAGCAGATTAGGTGGGTACAAGGTGAGATGTTTTGAACTGAGATGTTTGGTAGCGGTAGGAAGTAAATGCAAAGTGCTTTACTAAAGCATCAGGTGCTGTCTGCTGCTAAAAAACCAACTGGTCTGGCAGCCGGCGTCTAACTTGTTCTTCTGCTGGTGGATCGAAGTAATAATTTTACAAGACTTAAGTAAACTGTTATTTGTTGTGAGGATAATTATCTTACAGTATAATTCAGAGACATTTTGTGTACAGATTTTATTCAGTTCATCATGAAAATTTTGATAGTCTATAAAAATATTCCATGCTACAATAAAAATAATAAACTACCAGAATATAGTTTTGATGGCCCAAAGTTACTATTTTATTTATTGTCCTAAGAATAATTTTTCTGTTTTATTTTTATTCCTTGAGGATTTTATACATGCGTACAATGTATTTTGATCTTATTCACCTGAAAACTACCCTGCTGCCTCAGCCCCTCCCAGTTCCCATCTCTTAAGATTTTTTTTTTTTTTTGTTAACTACCAGGTTCAGTTTGTGCTGCCCAAATACATGTGGGTGTGGGACCGTTCGGAATAAGTTTTGGTTTTGTTTTTTAAAACCTAACATTAGTTGTGCCTTTAATGTGCTGGACATTGTCCTAAATGTTTTATTACTATTTATATTTATAAATTTTATATTTATAAATTATATTTATAAATATATATATATTAAATTTATAAATTTATAAATCTTATAAATATAAATTTATAAATCTTATAAATATTCTGGTGGGTTGCATGAAGTGTGGCAGTCAGAGGATAATTTGAGGGAGCCAGTTCTCTCCCTGTGATGCAGAAGTCACAAACTAATCCCACACTAGTTCAGAATTATGAGTAATAAAGGGTTATTTATTCAGGGGAGACTTACAGATCACTGTCCTAGATAACAGTCCTCTGTATGAACGGCGAACAGGAACAGAGTCTGGCAGCCCGAAGCAAGATAGCAGGCTCATACTGTACAGTTGCATTTATAGTTTAAGAGACCATGCCCAAGTGGACTGGCATCTTAAAGGCTATTGGCTGAAGGAGCAGATGGAGCTCCTACAGCATCCCTGCCCCATATGGGACCTGGAGATGAAACTCAGGTCACCAGGCTTGGTAACAAGTGTCTTTGCCTTCTGAACCAGCTCAGTGACCTTGGTCAATTTTTAAACAATTGACAGGTTTAGGTTTTGCTACCTGGCTGGTGGAACTCTGTGTGTGTGTGTGTGTGTGTGTGTGTGTGTGTATGTGTGTGTGCGAGCGCGCAGTGTGTCAGAGCCCTTGAACTTGGTTACTGGGAACCAAACTCAGGTCCTCTGCAAAAACAGCAAGCATCCAGCTCCTGAGCCATCTCGCCAATCCCAGATTTTTATTCTTGAGACAGTTATTAAGAAACCATATTCTCTGTCACATTTTTGCATGGCCCTCCTAGTTAAAGTCACTTATTCCAAGGCTTGATTCTAGTACCAGGTTTGGGGAGACATTTACTACCTACTGTTCAGAGGAAACGAAATAAAGCACTAGACTGTTCTCAGCCTTCCTAACACCGCGACCCTTTAATACAGTTCCTCATGCCGTGGTGCCCCCAACAATAAAGAGCTAGTTCCAGGACAGTCTCCAAAGCTACAGAGAAACCCTGTCTCAACAAAACCAAAAACGAAAAAAAAAAAAAAAATTCTGTTATTGCTACTTCATGCCTTAGTTAGGGTTTCTGTTGCTGTGAAGAGACACCATGACTACAGCAGCTGTTAAGGAAAACATTTGATTGGGGCTGGCTTACAGCTTCAGAGGTTCAGTCGGTTATCATGGTGGTGGGACGTGATGGCACGCAGGCAGACATGGTGCTGGGGTCTAAAGCTCTACATCGTGATCCACAAGCAGCAGGAGTCTGTCCCACTGGGCTTATATTGAGCACATCTGAGACCTCAAAGTCTGACTCCACAGTGACACACTTCCTCCAAATACTGTCACTCCCTATGGCCACGCACTCAAACACATGGGTCCATGGGGTCATACCTATTCAAACCATACTTCATAACTAATTTTGCTACTGTTATGAATCATAACATAAGTATCCGTGTTTCCCGATGGTCTTGGGTGATCCCTGTGAGTCATTTGACCCCGAAGGAGTCACCACCTCAAGTTAAAAACTGCTGCATTAGAGCTTCGCAAGGCAGAGAGCTCTATAGTGGGGAAAGAGCCAGAGTGCTCCATGCATGCAGCCTGTACTTCCCTAGGCTCGTGTCCTCACCTTACTCATTTCTTCTGGTGGTGATGCTCATGGATTATCTTGCACCTTTTGGCAACACTTTCTAAAATCAATCAATTGCCCCTGCCTCTGACGTTCTGGAAATTTCTCCGCTAGCTCCCAGGATAGTTCTCTGGTGTCTCCAGCACCTTGGAAGTACATTAAGAAACAAGTCGTGCTTATTCCCTGGTCCTCCACCCTTTCTCCCAGCAGCAAGCACAGCCAAGGCAGGGCTGGCTCGCTCCACTCCTGCTCCAACCTGCCAGCTCCCTTGCTCTTTGCAAACGCTGGCACTTCCCTTTCCACGCATGGACGTGTGAGGGCAGAATGCCTAGGTGTGATTCCACTTTGTACCTAGATGGAAAGCTCGTCAGCTACTGAAGCTGGAGGCGGTGTCTTTCCAAGAGCTAAACCTGAACCTGCTTTCCTTAGCCTGTGCTCGAGTGCTGGCTCTTCATTGCCCTGGTACACAACCTAGAGTCTGTGCGAGGCTCCAGACCAGCTTGCAGGGAAATGCTTCGTGGCTCTCCTCTGTTGTGGTGACTTGTGCTTTCTCTTGCTCTGTGTTTAAGTTTATCTCCTCATCTTTGTTTTTGTTTTTGAAGCTTGTTATGTAGCCCAGGTTGTCCTTAAACACTTTGTGACCTCACATTCATGCTGATCTTCCTGCTATGGCTCCCCAGGTGTGAATCACTTCTTTAGGCTTCTAGTTCTTGAATGGGAAGGGATGCATAATTCTGATTAGTTGATTTTTTTTTTTTTTTTACTTTACCAGTAACATGCAGTGATAACTGTATGCTTATATTCAACTAGGGATTGCTTGCTAGGTATCTTATTCTTATTGAGAAAGTAAGGCAGGAAGGCACAATGAGAAGCAGGTTTCAAGAGATAAAGAGCAACACAGTGTTTTAAGAGCATGACCTTGGGGTCAGGCCCGCGTTTGGATCTGGATTCCGACACCAGTGGCGTGGCCTCAGCAGGTTACTTAATCTTTCCGAACTCTCTGCTTTCCTGCAGAACTTAATAGGGTTATTGTGGGAGCTGAGTGAGCTAACGTCTGAATCGTGCCCAGGGAATGACTGCTGGGTTTAACGAGAGGATCTCAGAGTAGGACACGAGCAAACTGCTTCAGAACTCATTGTGGTACTAAAAAGGCTGTCCCAAATAGCACAGCATGCTAGATTCAGGGTGGAGTCTAGAGTTCCTTAAGTTCTCTGTGAGAGTGGATGATCACGGATTCTGGAGTGGAGTCCAGTGTATTGACAAAGTCAGGGTGACTCGCAGTGGAAATGAGGGGATGGTGAGGGGCAGGAAGGAAGCCACTGGGCAGGGTAGCAGATGCACCTGCATCTATCCAGTAGAAGCAAAGATCCTGCTGGCCCCTTCCCCAGCAGATTTAGAGACCAGATAACCACCACCAGGTGGTGGCGATAAGGTCATCACAGTCACAGTGCTAAGTACTCCTAGGAGGGACAGAAGCAACGATCGATGGGTCAGAATGTCAGCAGGGCAACTTCAGAGTAGAAATGCAAACTAAATCTTGAGGAACACACTAATAAGCACTAGAAAAGACGGGATAATAGTTTGCCATGCAGCTAAGATACCATTTTGATGAAATTGAAACATGGGAACATAAGCACAGCTGAATTCTCTATACAGTATTTTCCCAGGGGCTTCCAGCCTGCCTGCCTCGAGAGGGCATCGACTCTGAACCTGTCAGGACTCTCACCCTGGCTCACAACTGCGTCATCTCCTTGGCTGACATGGAGCCAGAGTCTCCTGGTGAGACCTGTTCTTGAACTCTGGCCTTGGAGTCTGAGCCATGAAGATGAGTTAGGAACATTAGCTCCAGCTGTGAGCTGGCTTCCCACACTTCTCCTAGACTGGTTCTGCAGCCAGCGCTCTGAGGAGCGGGTTCCCACTCATGTGCATTGGCAGTAAAATGAGTTGTTCGTGGCCCTGTAGTAAGGATCCTCTGCAAGCAGTAGAAGCCTTGAAGGGCAACCCCTCCCGAGTCTCAATGGAAAGATTCACTGATACCCTCCAGTGGCTCCTGTCTAATTTATTGTGAGAAACTCTAGAGGAATTTTATGTCAGAATTCCCGGCAGGGTGGGGATTAGGTCTGATCTAAAACAAGAGTCGTGTCTGGAACGTGAGTTTGCGTGGGCAGCCTCTGAGCCACTAGCCGCTGCAGCTGATAGGATCTGGCCAGTCGGATTCTTTCCCCTGACAGTCGGTACTGAAAGACTCCAGGCATGCACAGCACATCTTTAGAGGAAATGATGGGTGTTGCTCTCTGAGTGACAGTGACATTTCTCCTTGCCGACAGGCAGTAAATGCCTATGAACAGACAGGAAAAAAAAAGCAGACCATGGTCAAAAGGAGAGACAGGCTGTGGCAGAGATGCCTGGTCGAGCTGGCCGCATTTCCTCTCCTGGCGTCCATGACATGTTCCTTTATTCTGTGACAAATTCCCTCTGTAGCTACAACCAGCACAAGCTGGTTTCCGTTACTTGTGGTTAAGGGGCCGTCTACGCTTAGCTTTAATAAAGCAGCGCCCATGAAGAACAGAAGCAGCCTCCACTCTAAACACTTGATGGTAGGAAACAGCAGCTCTCTTCCCAAGCGAGCCCGGAAATGGGCTCCCGCGCAGGAGACGCAAAACCCAAATCCTCTCATTGTTGTTGAGTAGTTTATTCAACTCTTAGCTTGGTACAAAGAGCAGCCTGTTGCTAAAAAAGGAATTGAAGACACCATATTGATGGGAAGAAATTAAAAGAGGCAGCAGAGGTTACACACACACATAAGCGAGGCCCAAACCAGCCTCCCCACAGGGCAAGGAAACAGCCAATTCTGTAGTGATGATGAGTTCGGAGGCAGAGCCAACTTCACTCATGCAGATCTCAATACGTACCTGCTGTCTCCCCCTCCGAATCAGCCCGAGGCTGGCAGAGGGCTCAAAACTGAGCTGAGCTTTTTGATTGGTTGGGTTTAGCATATGGAGAAAAAAAAATCAACACTGTCTAAGAAACAAAGCACATCTGTTCCCGGGTGCAAAGTGGCA